TTACAGGTGTGAGCTACTGGCGCCTGGCATATTGACTCCTTCTTAACAAGGTGTAAGCTCTATGGGTCTCTCCTATGTACCCCAGGACTAAGAACAGTGAATGGTGTGGCATGGAAATCTGAGTCTTATTTCCCAAACATCTCATCCCTCAAGTTTTGATTTTGCTTTTTTGTGCCCACCCTGGGGCTTGAACTCAGGGCCTGGGCGCTGTCCCTTGAGCTTTTGTGCTCAAGGCTAGTGCTCACCACATGAGCCACAGCTCCATTCCCAGCTTTTTGTGGTTAAGTGGAGGTGAGAGTCTCACAGATTTTTCCTGCCCAGGTTGGCCCTGAACCATGATCAGGAGGCCGAGTAGCCAGGATGTCAGGCATGAGCCACCAGCAAGGCTGAGTGTTCTCCCAAGCTTTATTGTGATGGGACACACGTAACATAGAACTGTCTATCTTAGGGCTGGGAAGGTGGCTCAGTGGTAGAGCACTTGCCTTGCATGCCTGAGGCCCTGGGTTCGATTCCTCAGCACCACATAAGCAAAAAGAAAAAAGCCGGAAGTGGCGCTGTGGCTCAAGTGGTAGAGTGCTATAGCCTTGAGCTGAAGAGCTGAGGGACAGCACCCAGGCCCAGAGTTCAGACCCCACGACCGGACCCAAAAAAAAAAAAAAAAGTACTGTCTATCTTAGCCAGGCGCCGGTGGCTCACGCCTGTAATCCTAGCTACTCAGGAGGCTGAGATCTGAGGCTCACAGTTCAAAGCCAGCCTGGGCAAGGAAAGTCCGTGAGACTCTTATCTCCAGTAAACCACTAGAAAACCGGAAGGAGCACTGTAGCTCAAGCGGTAGAGCGCTCACCTTGAGCTGAAGAGCTGAGGGACAGCGCCCAGGCCCAGAGTTCAAGCCCCATGACCGACCAAAAAAAAAAAAAAAACAAAACCAAAAGTCTGTCTTGCCACTTTCAAGTGTGTACAGATGCAGCAAATAAGCACGTTCATGCTGTTGTCCAGTGATGACTGCCTCTCACCCCAATCCTTTATTGTACAAAGCAACTCCTCAGTTTCCCTCCGCAGACCCCTGCGGGAAACCTGCATTCTACCTTTTGTCTGTGTCTGACTCCACTGGGAACCAGATGTTTGTGAGATCAAACAGTGCTGCCGTGAGACTCCCTCCTCTCCCCCAACCCCCACCTGGTCCTCAATCTTGTTTTCTATTTGCACAGGTCAGCATTTTCTCCACCGTGCGTGCGTACACTGACCCACCCATCATGGACGCCTGCTTTTCTGAATAACACTGCTGCACACACACGTGCAGTTTGCCTTTCAAAAGAAGTCCAACTGCTGGGCCACATGGTAATTCTACTTTCATTTTGAGAGGAATGGCCACACCCCGACTAACTTTTAGGAAGCAATTCTCCACCTAGCCTCAGTGAATTAAGTTCTCATACCACAGGGCCTTTGCATAGGCCTCTGTCTCCACCAGAAACATCTTTGGCCTCTGAACTCCTATCAGATTTCAACTCAGGCTTCTCTCTTCCGAATATTCTTCCCTGCTCATCTCTGAGTTAGGGTTAAACCTCCTCCTTTCTGACTCTGGGCCCCTTGATCAGTTGCTAACGTTATGTTTAGCTTTATTCCTTACTGTCTTGTCCCCTATCTTGGTAAGCTCAGAGATTACACAGGTGTGAGCCAAAGACTTTCCCTGAGGTAGAAGAGGTTGTCCCAGGACCAGGTGACATTCCGATGCACCATCAGCATTCTCTACCTGCAGTTAAGGAACCATTTGAGGCTTCTTCTGGTAACATGGAAAGTTCATGTTTTTTTTTTAATCCTGTCCCTCCCACCAACTATTAACAAACCTTGCCACAGGCCCGCAGGGCCTAGCAAGAAAAACACACAAGAATACAGCAAGTCTGTTCTTAGTCTCTCTCCAGATCAGATGTGACAAGTAGAAAATACATCCAAAGGAGCACAGGGCTAGAGCTCAAGGGTATAATGTGTGCTTAGCAGGTACAAGGCCCTGGCGTTAATTCCCAGCCCCGCTACCTGAGCCAAATTAAAACAAAACAAAATTCAGGAAGATTTAGAGCCACTGAGTTCTAGATCATGAAGAGGAAATGTAGAACCTTCTGGAGACATCACAGGACGGTGTGTCATGTGAAGCCATCTAAGGCACAGGCCCACCGCGGTGAATTCAAACCCTTGTCCTTCCACGATTTGCTGGGTGATCTCAGTTTGGGAAATTGCCACTGCTCAAGTTCCAGGGACAATAAAAAAAATGGAACCAGGTAGAATGGTGCATACCTGTAATCTTAACTACTCTGAGGTAGAGATAGGTCTGAGGTTGGCCAAGGCAAAAGCATGAGACTCTATTAGAAAAAACAAATCAACAAAACCCCAAAGGTAAAAGGATTAGAAGTGGCTCACTTGGTAGAATGCTTGCTAAGTGTCCTGAATTCAAAAGAGAAGGAAGAGGAGGAGGAGGAAGAAAAGGAAGAGGAAGAAGAAAAAGAGGAGAAAGGTGAGGAGAAGGAGGAAGAGAAGGAGAAGGACAAAGAAGAGGAGAAAGGGGAGGGGCAAGGGTGGGGGGGAGGAAAACAACCAATCCAACGAGGTCTCCAGGCCTGTGATGAGTGTTCAATGATGGCACTGAACCAAGTAATGCTTTCTGCACCTCAGCCACTGTAACTGTGCGGCAGGTACAGCAGATCCTGGCTTTAATACCTGTGAACTCCTACACAAGATTGCAGCTCACAGAGAAGACCGTGCAGCACATGTGTGTGCTGGACCCTGTCATTGTACTGTTACTGGTCTCATTTGTGACAAATTCTCCTCTGGGACACCCACCCCAGCCCTGGGCCCAACCCTGGGCCCAGCCGAGGCCCAGCCTCTGATTTTCTGAACTAACAATCTTTTCCAACTTCCTGATCTGAATTTTTTTTTTTTTTACAAGTACAAGAGCTTAAACTCAGGGCCCTGAGCTTTTATACTCAAGGCTGGTACTCTACCACTTGAGCCGCAACCTTCCTTCCAGCTTTTTGCTGGTTCATTGGAGATCAGTCTTCCCGGTAGGCCTGGCTTCAAACTATTATCCTTAGATCTCAGCCTCCCAAGCAGTTAGGATGACAGGTGTGAGCCTGGCAGGCCCGGGCTCTTTATTCCAGGCCCTGCATATGTCTCAGGCAGAACTGGAGTATAAAGACAGCATGTTTTGCAGATGGACAGTGTTCTGGTTTTGTTTTTTGTGGCAATCTGCTTGCCCTTCCAGCAACACCCTCAAAGTCATCTAAGATAGCACTGGGAAACTTGGGGTCTGGTCCTGGCTCTGACCCCAGGCAAGCCCTTTCTCTTCCTTGGACCTCAGTTTCCCCACTTGCAAAATGAGCAGATTAGACTTTTGGGGCAACACTGGGTCTTGAACTCCGGGTCTGGTGACTGCTTGGCAGGTGCTCTACCATGAGAGCTCTAGTTAACTTTTCCAAATGAAGTCTTGCAGTTATGTCTGGGCCAATTTGGACAGCAATCTTATTTATGCTTCCTGTGTAGCTGGGCTGATAGTTGTGTGTGACCATGCTTAAGAAGGAATCTCTGAACTTCCCCCTGGATTGAAGATCTCAGTCTCGTGAGTAGCTAGGATTATAGGAGGGAGCCACATGCCTGGCAGCCGACTGAACTTCTGATGTTTAAGGTCCTTGCTAGTGCCAATATCCTAGCATCTAAAGTGACCAGCATTCAAATCTGAGAGTGGCTTAGGTCTGATAAATCTAGGCCAAGGGAGAAAAGGAGCTGTTTGGTTACTCAGCTGAAGTAAACAACACTGGATGGCAAACTTGGCCAACTGGGCAGCCTCGAGACAGGGCTGGGGCTTAAGAAGGGAGGAATTGGGGATCAGCCTGAAGAGTAGAGAAGGGACAGGCAGAGCAGACAGCCACATGAGCATGTCTCTGGCCAGGGTCTTGGGCTGTCTGAGAGGGGCTCGATGGAAGACCACACAGGAGTCTGTTTTTCTGAAGAATAAGAGCAACCAACAGAGAAGAAAGACACTGCCATGATGGGCTGGGCCCCTCTATCCAAGCAGGACCCCATGACACCTCCAGAAAGATTATGAGAAATCTCCAAAGCAGGTATTTGACCTGCAGGTCTCCCAGAGTTCTGCAAAGAATTGTGAGAGGACTGAGGATGGCTGGCTTCAGCCCCATAGCTGTTTGTGGCCGAGGGTGTGTCCCTGGGTTCATCCCCTAAGAGCAGAGCTTTTGCCAGGTGTTGGTGGAGCACACCTGCAATCCTAGCTATGCAGGAAGCTGAGATCTGAGAAGCTCAGTTCAAAGCCAGCCCAGGCAGGAAAGCCCGTGAAACTAGGATCTCCAATTAGCTACCAAAAACCCAGAGGTGGAGCTGTGGCGCAAGTGGTAGAGCACTGTCCTTGGGAGAGCACCCAGGCCCTGAGTTCAAGCCTCCCAAATGGGGCCTCCCCAAGTTCAGAGAAGACACAAGAACAGCAAAGGAAAACAGCAGCCAAAAGCAGAGCCTTCATACCCTCAAGTCACAAGGCATCTAGAACTTCCCTGGCACCTAGAAAAGCACAGCTGGGACTCCCTGGAATCTCGCTTTAATCTGTCATGAGCAGCATACAGCTCATACTCTTCTGCTCCCCTGCTTTGGGCCAAGAGTTCAGGGGGGGCAGGGATGTCTCCAGAGTCTGTGTGTGGGGTCTAAAGGAGCAGGCCTGGCCAGACAGGGGCTGTAACTGCACGGCTAGGCTGGATGCTCTCGCTGTGTCCGGGTCAGGCCTGGCCCTGGGTGATGCCCAGGACACCTCGGCAAGCGGACTCACAGGTAGCCTCCTCCCGTCTGCCCCACTGTTCTGGGGCGAATGTACTTCTGACTTCTGCAGGGAAGGACCTTCCTCCCTGGTCCCTTTGCCTTATGCCTTCACCTTTCCATGGAGAAGCTGTGCTCCGAGTTACCTTCAACACCAAAGCCAGCAAGCGCTGACCTCCACCTTCCACCTGCAGCCAGGCGTTGGCCACGCCCACCAAGGCCACACCCCACGAAGCCACGCCCACACGGAAATCTCACGCCGGCGAGGCCACGCCCGCAAACGCCACGCTCCTTAGACGGTCACGCTTCCCCAAACCACGCCCCCCGGCGACCACGCCCCCCTACCCGGGAATCCGGGTCCGCAGCGCCCCCTCCCCCGCCAGCGGGGCCGGGGCGGGCTCCGCGTCAGCTGCACGGGCTCAGCCCGCCGCCGCCCGCGGCGCCGCCGCCGCCGCAGCGCCCGGGAAACTGCGCGGGGACCAGGTGTGGCCGCGAAGTTTTCTTCGGGAAAGTGAATCAGACTGGGTGCGCCCCGACTCCTCGGCGGCTGCTCTCCCAGAGTCCCTGTGGGCAAGGAGCTCCCCTTCCTCGTCCCCCACCCCCAAGACAACACGCCCGACCCCAGGCCACAGCCCTCCCCTGGTACAAGGGAGAACCCGAACTTTGGCTGGTTTTGCTCACGAGCCCATTTCCGCTTCCAGTGCCGGGAAAGGCGCGCGGCCCGGCGCGGGGCAGCTCGGGGCTCGGCGGGGGCGCCGGCGCTCCCGGACCCCGGGTTCTGCGCGGCGGCTCGGCGGCAGGTGCCTTGCTGGAGGCCGAGGGCTAGGAGCCCGCCGGGCAGGTGGCAGCCATCCGGGCCTACAGGGCCCCAGACCGACCGCGAAGCCGGGGTGCGAGGTGCGGGGTCCTGCGCTCCCGGGCGGGCGCCCCGGCGGACACCCCGGCGGCCCCGCTTCTCCCCGAGCCGCGCGATCCCACGGCCCTCCCGGGCGCACACTCACCAATCTCCGGTCGAGTCGCGTCCAGGCGCGGCGGCCCGGGGCTGGGGGCTCCCCGACACCCCCAGCCCGGGCTGCCTCCTCCGAGACGCCGCGATCGGCCGCGGGCTGGAGGCCCGGGAGTCTGGACGGAGGAGCGCACGGGGACCCGGCCGGGGCGGTGGGGAGCTCGGCCAGGACGCGCGGAGCGCAGCGGGAGGGGCCGCCGGGGCGCGGCGTCGCCCAGAGGCCTGGGCTCCGGGAGGTGCCGCCCACGGCCCGCCCTCCGGACCCGAGAGGCGATAGCCGAAGGCCCGCCTACCGAACCCCAGAGGCGCCTCCCCCGACTCGCCCTCCGGACTCCCCCCCCCATCACCGCCACGACCCCCACGCTCGGTGGGAGAAGCAGATGCGAATAAAGACGAGGCCCCGAACGCCGCCCCCTCCCGAGGGCTCTGGGGAGGGGGGTGGAGGGGGCGTCGAGTCTCCAGCCCGGAGTCTCAGACATCGTGGGGTCCCCTGCACCCCTCCGCCGGGCGGGCGCACAGCACGGGGCGGTAGACTCACCTTTCCGCTTCGGTGGGGCGGCCGCCGCCTTCCTCCCGTCCCGGGCCGGGCTCGAGGTGTCGGGGCGCCCCCAGGCCGGTGCCCCGCGGGCCGGGCTGCGGCGGGGAAGCAGGAAGCCGTCGGGTCGGCGGGGCCCCGCGGGGCTCCCCACCCCCGCCCGGCCCGGCCCGGGTGGAGCGCGTTCCAGTTCCCGGGGCGCGCGCGCGGGCTCGGGGCGGCCGGCCGGGTCCCGCCGGAACGGGGCGCGGGGCGTCCTGGGCGCGGCCGCCAGCTCTCCCGGCCGGTCTCCAGCCGGCCTTCTGCCGCGGCCCCGGCTCGGCTCCCCGCGGCGGGCGGCGTGACCCCAGCGCCGGGTCGCCTCTCACCTGCGGCTCTGCCCGCCCCGCCTGGAGGTTTGGCGGCCCCAGGCCCGACGACCCCGGGCGGGCGGGACTGAGACTCGGGCGAGGGCGGTGCGCCCCTCCCTCCCGGCCCCGGTGTTTGGAATCCGAGCCGGCCCGCCCCCTCCTTGGGTGTGCGCCCACCCTTTGAAGTTGGAACCGGAGACGGAGGTGGGCCGGCCCCCGCGGAGGACAAAAGGCGCCTCCTGCTGGGCGCGGGGTCCCCAGGCCAGCTCACCGCAGCCCGGTGGCAATTCAGTTCAGCCCCGGTGCCCCAAGATCACTTCCCATCTAGGGGACTGGAGACTGGAGCTGGCCTCGAACCTCCATCTTCAGACCTCAGATTCCAGAGTAACTAGGGTTAACAGTGGGGAGCACCAGCACCTGGCCCCATGGCTTCTTATTTGAACCCTGTCAGGTCCCTGGATTCACAAAAGAGACAAATTTGATGTTACCACAGTAATTGCTAGTCCCGACATCCTTAGTGCCAACCGGCCCTGGTGGCCATCCCCTCTGAACGTTAGTTAACATTTGAATTTAGGACCTTGCACTTTCCAGCCAAGCAGTTTACCACTTAAGCACTGCCCTTGGCCCTTTCTGCTTAGAGTTTTGAATAGGGCTTTACCAATTCCTCCCCCCCCCCCACTCTGGACTTTGATCCTCCTATTTACAATTCCCATCGAGTTGGGATGATAGATGTGCACCACAGTACCCAGATTTTTGTATTTGTTAATCTGGGGTCTTGAGCCACTATCCTGACCTCTACCTCCTAAGTAGCTGGGATTACAGGGCCCTTGGCCCTGAGTCTTTTCCTCTAGTCCTTCCAACAACTCCCCCAGGTGGTTATTGTTTTATGACTCCAGAGGAGGTTTAAGATGGTGGTGGTGTTTGTCCAGAGTCACACAGCTGGGAAGTATCAGGATCCACTCTGACTGCACCTGCAGGTACACACTTCAGAGCTGTCTACTGCAGGGTCACTCCATCCCCCCTGCCTGGGCCTGAGCAAGTACTTAGTGAGTACTTGTTGGATAAATAAGAGCCCCAGATAAGAACACATTGTGTCAGGAATGAGGGGAGCCCTCTGTGCAGGCCAGTGCCTGTAACCTCACCCCAAAGTTACAACGCTGAGTCTGGGGTCTTTACCAGCAGCGACTCATCCCAAACGCTGAGTCTGGGGCCTTTCCCAGGCTGCTTGGGGAGGGACAGGAAACCAGCATTCAAGTCATACAGCTCCCTACTAAGACCAGGAATGTGGTTTGTGTTTCCCTCTGCAGGACAGGACTGACTGGAGAGGCCTGAACTGGGGGTAATAACTTCAGGCAGTTGCTCCAGTCCTGAACCTGGAAGCTCAAGGAAGAACCTGAGTACTTTTCCAGGCCAGGATCCAACTTCAGGCCCTCCCCTTTCTGCAGGGAACCCAGCCCAGCAGCTCCTGGCTATCTCAGAAACCATCTCCCACGGTTCCCGGAAGCACGTGTGCCCTGGCTTATCTGGGCAAGGGGCAGGAGAAATTTACAGCCAAAGGTGGGCTGGAATAAAGCAGTAGTTGGAAAAGGCTTCTTCTTTTGCTGTCCCTTCTGCGCAGCCCCCTCCTTTGATTCAGGGGTTGCCCCTGAATCTTTCCTGGCTCAGCAACTCCCATGGAGGTGCCCAGTTTCTCTAACCTGTCACCCATCCCACTGTTACCTGACCGAAGCCTGAGGGGTGTCCTTGGGGAAAAGATCCAAGGAAAGGAATGGTGAATGGTGAAGTTTCTATTGCCTGGTTGGTGCACTATGCAGGGAGGAACCCTTGGGATCAAAACACTGTTGTTAACTAATTCTCAACAGCAGCCCTAGAGGAAAGATTTTCTGCTTCTAGCTTTTCAGCTGAGGCCTCTAAGACTCAGAGCAGGTATGACACCTGCAGCTGCCAACGAGCAACAGAACCAGGACGTGGCACAGAAATCCCCACAGGAGATCACTCGACTTTGTGTGTCGGGGAGGCCACGCACATGCTTGTAATCCTAGCTGCTCAGGAGGCCAAGGCCTAGAGGATTTTACAGTCTAAAATCAATGGAAGCAGAAAAGTCCCTGAGACCCCCCCCCCCCATCTCCAAACTGACCAAACAAAGCACAGAAAGAGAAATGGAAGGAGGAAGGAATGAAGGAAAAGATGAGAAGGGAGAGAAGGAAAGAAAGAAAGGATGTGACAGGACTAAACCAACTGCAATTGTTCTTGGAAACTAAGAAGTGTATTTCAGGATGTAGGAAAGTGGGAAATATTTTTTTCTCAATAAAAGTGTCTTAATTAAAAAACAGTTTTCAGTTGACCAGAAGCACCGCATTTTACTGTTTTGCCCCTTGCCTTTCCCTGTTTGCTGAGCCTTGCCCTCAGTTACTCTTTTCCCTTGCTGACTCCCTTCCACCCACTTACTCTTACTAGGGACTCCTTTCTTTCATTTAAAAAAAATTTTTATTTATTTTTTGCTGGTCTTGGAGGTTGAACTCAGGGTCCTGGTACTGTCCTTGAGCCTCTCTGGGCTCAAGGCTAGCGCTCTACCACTTGAGCCAGAGGGCCACTTCCGGCTTTTTCTGTTTATGTGGTACTGAGGAATCAAACCCAGGGCCTTCATGCATGCTGGGCAAGCACTCTACTGCTAAGCCACATTCCCAGCCCTGTTTAAAACAACAACAACAAAAAAAAAACAACATTCTTTTGGGGGCTGGGAAGGTGGCTCAGTGGTAGAGCGCTTGCCTTGCATGCATGAGGCCCTGGGTTTGATTCCTCAGCACCACATAAGCAAAAAGAAAAAAAGCTGGAAGTGGTGCTGTAGCTCAAGTGGTAGAATGCTAGCCTTGAGCTGAAGAGCTGAGGGACAGCGCCCAGGCCCAGAGTTTAGGCCCCACGACCAGACACCCCCCCTCCCCCCCAATAAAAACAACATTCTTTTTGCCAGTACTATGGTTTGAATTTGCTACTGCTTTATTGGTGCTCTACCACTTGAGCAATGCCTCCAGTCCAGCTTTTTGCCAATTATTTTGGAGATAGAGTCTTGAGGGCTTTTCTGCCTGAGCTAGCCTCAAACCTTAGTCCTTTAGGTTTCAGCCTCCTGAATAGTTAGAATTGCAGGCTTGAGCCACCTGCTCTTGGCAGGTAGACTTACTTCTAAACTATGAATTGCTGAGCAAAAATGTCTGTGCTGGGTGACTCTTCAAAATCAGCAGTAGATCACACACCTGTGCTTGCAACCTTGCCTTGGCCTGGGTCATGGAGAAGGGTGGGCCTTGGGGGTGGGTTGCACAGAGGACACATTGGCCTGGCTTCTCTGAAGGCTGAACCAGGTCTGTGTTCATGTGGTGCAAAGCAAAAGCAGAGAGAGGTCCTTCATTTAAGGGACACAGTTTGTCCTCATTTCCTGCAAATTTGAAATCCCAGAACTGGATCTCAGTGGAGTTTCCAGTGTCCCCGGGCCACTCACTACTTATGAGTCCTTCAGATGGCTGAGCAAGAGAGCCTGTGATCAACCTCCACTCCACTCCCTGTGTGGTGGTGGTGGTGGTGGTGGTGGTGATGGTGTGTTTGTGTGTGTGTGTGTGCACATACATGTGCCAGTGCTGAGGCTTGAGCTCGGGACCTTGCACTCCTGCTTGGCATTTCTGCTCAAGGCTGGCACTCTACCACTCGAGCCACAGATCTACTTTAGTTTTGCTGGTGTTTGTTTTAGTAGTTAATTGGAGATAAGCATATCATGTAGACTTTTTCTGCCCAGACTGGCTTTGAACCTCCATCCTCTGATCTCAGCATCCTGAGTGGCTGGGATGACAGGCATGAGCCACTCACCAGCCGGTTGTGTGTGGAGTGGGGCTGGTCTGTGGATGCTTCCTCAGCCTGGCCCCTCCCCATCCCCCTTTTCCCTTCTACTCCTAGGCGTGTACCCCACAGCTAAGGGACGGCACCCAGAGACCCGCATGAAACCAAGTGTCCGCAGAGAAAACCGTCACAGGGAGGGAAATGATGGGGGTGGGAAGGCTGGGGAGGAGAGACGGGGTGAGTCATGTGGGCACGTGGGCAGTCATGCGGTGGTCACACGGCAATCACGTGCTGGTCACGCAGCAGTCACGTGGTGGTCACAGGGCAGTCATGTGGCAGTCACCTGGTGGTCATGCGGGGTCTCATTGAGATCTATGAGGATCCCCCCCACCCCGCGGCTGGCCTGGCCCCTCCTCGGGACTGTGGGCCCCTGTGGTGGTGGCGGTGGCGGGCAGAGGAAGGGGTCACTGACAGGAAGGGGGGGAGGTGGACACAGCACAGCCAGCTGGAGCTAAAGGCAGCTGCAGCTGGGCGCTGCCTGCGGGGAGGAAGCTGCCGCCATGCTGAGTGAATGACCGCAGGGGAACCGGCCCGTCTGTGGAAATCCCCTAGGATGGCTAGCTGAGTACCCCACCCTCCATTCTGGAACTTTCTTTTTTTTTTTAAACTGAAATGTAATTAATACCTGGAAAGGTGCAAAAAAAAAACAAACCCTCAAACGGACAGCTCTGTGCGTTTGTATACACCTGTGCAGCTAGAATCTAGAACCTTCCCCGATGCAAGGAAGGGTCCTTTGTACTCTACCCTTAACCAGCCTTCCCTCTAAGTAACCCACCCTCCCCGCTGTGCGAACCCCAGGCCCGCAGTGGGCTGGAGTGGCTCTGAGTTCAAATGCAGCCCCTGGGAACGTCCTGCTCCGGGCCTTTGGTACCCTGGCCTGCTGGATCGGTCAGGCCCGGCCCTGGGCTGTCTCCAGCTTCGTAGAAATGCTGATTGAACGTGGGCCAGAGGCTGGGCCTGATCCTTACAACCATGGGAAAAAAAGAGAGAGAAAGAAAAGAAAGGAGGAAGGGAAGAAAAAAGGGGAGAGAGGGAGGGAATGGAGGAAGGAGGGGAGGGGAGGGGAGGGAGCTGCTAGAATAAGCACCTGAAGAATTACAGCTGACAGATCCTAACAACTCCTCGCTGGACCTAGCTGGAGTTTGCCTTCACCTTCCCAACCACCCCCAAGAGGACAAAGGGTTGCCGGTGCCTGGTCGCCTGC